TTTTGTTTTGCGAAAAGCTACAATTAATTGTTGACTGTTTATTGATTCGAACTTTATAATCTAGGATCAAGCAGTAATATATCAGCAATGCATTTCATATAAAGTGCCAAAATCGCCCAACGTTGTTATTTGAGACTTAGCAAACTTATGACTTTCTAAGCTTCATAAGAACAATAATGTTGGAAGCTTCAATGAAGTCTGCTGTCTAAATTTGTCTGAGCTGCTCTATCGCTACTAACCTCTTGTGCAAAAGCCGTTAAAGTATTCTTTAAACGAGCATTAATTTTTTACTCTATAATCCAGATCTTAGTTTAGTTTGCTAAAGCTCTTCAACGCATCCTCGTTGTAAGTTAAAGCCTTTAACAGCCAGACGTCTATCGGTGCTAAAAAAATGAAAAAAACTAACCCAAAAATTTATCTTGACTCTCATTTTATTTTACATACAAATTTACATTTTTGCTTATATACTTTATAGAAATTTACATTTGCGTGAATATGCTACGAGTTATTGCTACGAGTAAAGCTACTGCAAAAAAAAAAAAAGTTTATTGTACCAAAAACTGCCACCTTTTAAAATTTTCAGACGTTGCACAGTTTTCTATACAGCATATCAAAGGCAGGTATGTTCTCTGTACAGAATATCAAATTTGTATATTTGGTGTTGAACAAGTGCAAAAGTTACAGAACCAAAAATGAAAATCCGGATAGCAAACTAAGTTTTAAAACTAGCAATGTTTAGAAATAAGAATTATAACCAAAAGCCATCAATGACTATTTTTACAGAAGGTCGCTTAAGGAATCAATCACTTTTAATCAACTGCAGGGTAAGATGAGAATACAAAAAATGTAGGTGAAATGTAGTTTAACAAAAAAAAAAAAAAAAAACGTTTGGTAACTGCATAAAACGCACTTATTTATTAAAATCAGTCTGGCCTTCTCTTTAGCCAAACTGTACATTCAGCTAGAATATGATTTATCAACAAAAGATGAAAGTGATGAAGAGTTAATAAAAATTGTGTCTGTTATTCTGTTCTCTCCGAATACATCATCAGAGTTTTGTCAAGAAGGAAAGATTACTGTACATACCTTGTTTTTTATTTATTTTCCTATTTTAATTGCAGCGACTAAAAAATGTATTTTTATTATTTCCAGTTTGAAAAAACCCATTATATGATTAAAGTGAAGTCACAAGAATATTTTTTTTTAAAAAAAACTCTTAGATTTAAGAGAATAGTTGGAAGGAAAGAAGGGTACAATGAATGTCTTAGAGAGAAAGAAGCTTCAACTTGAAGAAGGTTCAAGACAAGAATAATTGGCATAAAATAAGTCACCAAGACACCTAAAAAGCTTCATTGTGTTTTAATAGCAGAAAAGAACTATAGATAAGAGTAATGGTTACCACTTTATAGAACAGCGCAGCAATATTCACACGGATGAGCCTGATCAACTCACTGTTAGTACAGTTGCATTCCACGTCACACCTTAACTGGCGCCGATCTGATCCATTTATTTTTGTAAACAGCTTTTTATCTGACGCCAATTTGATGTCTTTTTTTCTTCTTTTTTTTTTGATCTTGTAAAGCTTAATACCAACATGCTAAATATCACGATACGCATTATACGGTTCAAAAGCCGAATAATCCTTTTATCACTTCGTTCCAGTTTTATTCCACTCCCTTCCCTTGACAAATTCCCTTGACTGTCACTTCTCAGCAAAAGTCTGCAGTGCTTTCCTGTTGTGTATGCTTACCGCAGACACTGAATATCCGGCAAAATAGACGAAAACTGAACTACCGCTACGATTTTTGGTGATAAAGGAAAGGTTTTATAATAAAGCAAGGCAACGTTTTCTCCAGACCGTGAAGTGCAGATGAACCTAAAATTTCTCAATATGCTTTTCTTAATTGACAGCAACGAAAAGAACAAAATTTGATCTTTTTCCGCGGAAATCTGATTTAAGCTTCCCGAACAGTCTTCGTGTAAAAGCTTCTTAAAAAATCTCACAGTAAAAGATTCCGTGAAAATTAAGGCCACAAAAGCTACAGTAGGCCTTTAATGTAGCATTTTTACGCTTCAGACGTTTTTGAATCGACTGACATCAGATGTGAAAATTTATGGAGCGTTCGCCGAACGTAAACCAATACACTGTTCGGCAAAGTTGTAAGAAACTGTAGTGATCCTTGCATAAATGTGAATTTTTGCTCCATAAAGTTCAAAAATTTTCTGAATTTGATAGTAAAAAAGGTTTCGTTATGGTAAACAAGGTTAACTTTAGCTAAAAATGTTTGTTCTTTGTAGATTAGCTGCCAAGAAGACGGATTCCTGTTGTATTTACTGCAGATATATCAAAATAATCAGCTAAACGCTTTGTCTGATAAACATATCAGTAATCAGCTTCAATGATGCGATCATTGTATGTCTATTTCAAGATTAACTCAATGTAAACCAGACAGTAATTATTAGTACCGGTGAACAAGAGTATGGAAAGATTATAAGGTCAACCGTAGCCACAGTAAAAAATGATCGTTCATGATTTATTTTTTGGACAGCATAAACCGCGTTTCATATGCATATTTCCCTATATCTAAATTTCGACTTGGGAGGCTTTTCATTCCAAGTGCTGCGTTGTATCTGCACAAAACGATGCAGATGATGGAGTTTAAATGAAGGACTCTGGGGAGCTGGACTACATGCTCCTATAACAATAATTACAAAACTGTAGATTCTCACCTACAGACCTTTTGCAGGCGTTTATTGAGCTGTTGGTTGCAGTAACTAGTCTTAAAGCGAAAATTGGTTTACTGTATGCTCGTAGCAGTTAAATTTCAAGCAGTTCCACTAGTGCCAAATTCGAAAACTTTTATTTTTGCTTTGGGTTTACTTCTGGGGAATATTTGATTATCTGTATCAGCTTCAAGAATAAGATCTGCTTTGGACAGCATTAGGAGGGCTTTGCGGTTACA